GAGTATTATCGAGATTCGTTTGGTTAATAGTATTGCCGGTAAAGACAAGCGGAGGACTGGAATGGCCATTTCTGGCTTATTAGCCGTCGTCAGCCAGTCATACCTGCCAACCCCAAGTGGTGCGGCATCCGAGACTCGATCTCGCGACCTTTTCGATCAGAGTCTAACGCTCTAACCATTGAGCCCATCTGTTGCTACCGCTTTTCGGCTACCTCGACTTCGTCGTCTCTTGTGGCTGCCTGAGAGCCTCATGGGCCGCATTTTCTCGTCCGTACTATTGGGTTATTTGAGTTTTTTGATTTCCGGCGCCCATACATTGTCCATTTATTGCCCACTTGCGACAAGTATTGGCCTTTCTTTAGCCACGATGCATTTGAGCCTTGGCGTTCCGATTTGACTGTGCATCACATCCGATCACGGACATGTTTCGAAATGTTTTTATTTTATTGCGAACATGTCCGGGTTTTCGCCTTACGTCACCTACTCTACCATCGCCTACGTAGGTGACCCGGAAAGGATTAAACAACTGCTTCAGATGGCCTGGTCATTCATAAATGACAGTCTCGCGACAACTCTGTGTCTTCAATGGGAACCAGAGATTGTGGCCTGCGCTGTGCTCTACTTGGCAACGCGCATGAAGAAGTGCACAATCGAGGACTGGGAGGGCCGACAACCAGGTCAGCGGTGGTGGGAGTGTTTTGTTGAAAACATGAGCACTGAGGTGAGGCCCTGCTCTTTTTTGAAATGATATTGTTTAACCTATTTGAGTATCACCGCCTATTCAAGACGCTTCTTCTTCATTATGCAAAACTGTGGTGGGTTTTTGATCTTGGAGACTGCAGAGTGCACAGTTTTATCCGCAGCCCTCGTACCTGACTGTTCGGTGCTAATCCTAAACCGAGCCAGCTTTCCCCCTCCCTGTCTTACTGTGACCCTCGTTATGTTCGATTGCACGTTCAGGTAACAGTCTAGTTTCGGGCTCACTGCAGCAAGCGAAAACCCCAATATTCTGTAATACTGGACTAATGGTAATGTGTGGGGCATATCAGGGGAAGGAGAAAATAATTCAGAAAGTAGAACGTACAAAAGTAGGAAATAACAGGAATAATTATTTAAGCAACCTAATGTTTGGCAACAAAAAAGCGCGCTATAATCAAACGAAAACTACGATCAGTGGGACATAAGAATTGCGCAAATTTTGGAACTGTGCAAAGAGCCAAATTATGCCACAATGAAACTAGTAAAACCAAAAACTAAACTAAGCAAATTAGATTAAGATGAAGTAAACTAAATTCAAAATGGCAGGTCTTTCTTCTGAGGCCGCCTAATGGTCAAAGGAGTTGCTCTATATGGTTCTTTTTAACCATTAGGGTTGCTCAAATACTTTCCTGGTCTGCAGGCTTCCTTTTTACCCACGATTTTTTTGAGTAAAATGATTACAAACGACTCTAATTTTATTTTATACCGTCCATTTTCCGCGCATTAAACACGCATTACTTATTCATTAATCAAGCATTAAACCGTTTATCACGATCCCGTAGTACACTTGGGCGGGGGAAATTATTTTCAGGCGGTCTGACAAGAAAGCCTAACCCTCATAGTAATAAAACCTAAACTTAAACCAATAAAAGTAAAAGTTACCGCAGGACGCTAAAGATTTCAGTGTGGGAAATTCAATTTGGATGGGCTCTGCTGTATCTTTGTGATGAAAAAACATGCTTACTACTGCGAAATAAATAGGCAGTTATGTGAAGTACGCGTAGTGAGCCCGAAACCAGACTGTCACCATTCAGGCTACCGCACACAAACATTGGACATCATCCAAAGTGGTAGGATAGCGGCCTTTGATGCAGCATGTCACCCACGTTCATTTTCTTGTTTTTCGGTATCTTCTCTCTTTTTTTATCTTCTTCCTAATGCATCTGTGCATCCTTGTCAATGTCAGTAAGACAGTAGTCGGATTCATGTACGTTTTATCCCCCCCCCGACATCCACAGGTGATGGAAGACATTTGTCACAAAATACTCGACCTCTACCCTGCCTCTGAGGGATCCGGGCCACGGCGCACCGACCAATCGGACCCCGGTGCCCGCAGTTCATC